AGAGTGACCAGCTGACGGTACGGTACATCGCCTCATATTGCAACCTCGCCGACCTCTTTACCAAGGCTCTCGGCAAGGCTGACCACCATCGCCTTCTCCGTTCCATGGGGCTATGTGCTCCTTGATCGGGTTTGCAGTCTATGGGGGTGTGTTAGAAATAGACTGCAAATACCACTTTTGTATTTGTACTTTTATATCCTAGTTTAGGTTGTGAATGTTCTAGTGGGTTGGGGTGTACTCACAAATCCCAACCTCACCCAATTGTGATCCCCACAATCTCCAATTACCCAATTGGAGATTCCGGAGATCCCAATGGGGATTCCCTCCAATTCCCCCTTCATCCATTCTCTCTCACCTTGCCATGTACTTATAGAGCCTTGGGCTCCTTACCTAATCAATCATTTCAACTCTATTTCTTTTGCAAGTCGAATCACTCAATTATGTCAACTAGCGAGCGAGCTATGGCGATTGGCGCACTGGGGATGTTTGAAAATCCACCCAACAGAAATCTAGTTGTGAAGGGAAAGAGAGGCGGCGGCTAGGAGTCTAGCAGCGGCGATGGAGGGGACGGCAAAGAGATGCACGTCGGAAGGGGATGGGGCGGAAGCGTGGGGAAGGATCAGGATTAAAAGTTGGCGTGAGCCATTATTGCTCTATACCATGTTAGAAACAGAAATGTTGAGTTTATTGATCAAGCAAAGGCATTACATAGGAAGAGAGAGATGAGCTAGGAAGGGAAGGTTGGAAGGGAAGGGGGGGTTAGGACCAATCACAAGGGAGGGAGGATCCTTCCAAATATGGTTGACCACAAGTGGGAGGTGGTCCAAGTATGGTGGACCACAAGTGGCTTAGGCAACCCACTTGTGGTGCCCCCACAATTGTGGTCCTTGTGTTTGGGGGCTCCAACCACAATTGGGCTGGATTGACACCCCAACACAGGTGTACACCCAACTAGGGATGTAAACACAATATACACAACTAGCATAGCATGGTATATTCTAACAAATAGCACCACTGAATAGAGTGCACTGTAGTAAACTTGTCGGGGGTAGAAAGCCGGGTTGCCATGCATTGGAAAAAAAAAAAAAAAAAAAAATCAAGGCAAGAGCCAAATTTGGCGCTGCTGCCGAGTTGAACCCCTACCAGATATGAGGCATGAAACTTGGCACTCGGGCCAAGTTTCAACCCTCACGGCACTCACACGCAAGCAGGTACCTTAGCAAACACAAATCTTTGCTATCATTTCGCCCCACCTATTGCTTGTCAGCCAATCAATAGCTGCGGGCCCACCTACCTCAACAGTGTCAATATGCAACCTGCTGGTCGGGCTTTAATGAACACTATTCAAGTGATTGATTGGGTGTGCCAATTGCGCAAGTGCCAGCACAATGTTCCCGGCACAATTCCAACTTGTGCCCAGCTGAACTTGGTGCAGCCAAGTGGCACCCACAGATGGGTCAAACCCAACAGTGCGAAATTGCATATTGCGCTGCTCACAACCAACTGTTCCAGCCCAATTCGGTCCAATCAGAAGTTGGGCCGGGTAACTGTTCATTTCCTACTTCCGGAAGTCCAACCCGGCTGCTCTTTCCCTGTGCAACACTTCCAGCAGCTTCCTGACTGCTGTTTTGACCCAGGCACAGCAATTCCAGCATTGCGTTGCTGCTGCTCTTTCTGGCGCAGCACTTTCAGCAGCTGCAGTTTCTCCGGCTGCTGCTGGCTTAGCTGCTGCCAGCACCCGTTTCTAACACGCCCATCAAGTCCTTCCGGTCTGCCACAACTGTCGCTGCTGCATAGCCTAAGACTGACGATCGGATCAGTCATGCAGCCAACAGCTCGTCAGACTTATGCTGGCATACCTCCAGATCTTCTGGGCGCATGCACCGCTTCCAGTGATATATGGGTATCTTGGTGGAGGAGGCTCGCCCGTGGTCGCAGAGTGGAATGGGCGTGTCTCATCGAAGACGACATCACGGCTGCGAATCAGCTGTCTGGTGATTGGGTTGAGGAATAAGTAGTCTGGGGAGTCAGAGTTGTGCCCCAGGTACATGCAGGTCTGGGTTTTGGGACCAAGCTTGCCACCTTGCTTCCTGCGCGTGTGGGGGCTTAGCAACACATACGCGGTACACCCCCAGACGTGTAGAGAGCGGGCGGAAGGCGTGACCCCAAGCCAGAGAGCGGTAGGTGTGGTGTCGGGCCGGTGGGGATGCGGATAAAGATTGTAGAGGAGTGCCGCATGGAAGAGGCCATATCCCCAGAGTGACTGTGGTGCGTTGGCGTGACTGAGGAGGCAGCGAGCGATCTGAACCAAGGTGTGGTTGCGGCTCTCTGCAATGCCATTCTGCTGCGGGCTTTCGGGGAGCGTGAAGGTTTGCCGAATCCCTTGGGCCGCACAGAAGTTATCGAGTTTGCCATTGCGAAATTCTCCCCCGCCATCAGAATGGAGGCACTTCAGAGGAGTGCCGAACGTGACTTGAGCCTGGCGCACCCACGCCATGATGACATCAAGTGCCTCCGCCTTGGTATGCAGGAGGTGCACAGAAACATACCGCGAGTGGTCATCGACTAGTGTAAGAAAGTACCGATGACCGCCTCGGGATGCGACTGGAGCTGGGCCCCAGACATCCATGTGCACTAGGTCCAGCGGAGCAGCTGCGACGGATGGGGAGGAAGGATGCGGCTGCTGCTTGAGCTTGCTCTTGGTGCAGTCCAGGCAGGTGGGTGCAGGTGAGTCTGTTGGTGGAGGAAGCGCCGACGGGAGGCCAAGAAGAAGTTTCTTGGAAGCGATGTCGGCAAGTGTACGGAAGTTGGGGTGACCCAAGCGATGGTGGTAGAGGATGGTTGGGTTGGCGAAGCTGCGACACGAACACGGAGTGGTGCTGGCAGCTTGCGCTTGGGAGAGGGCGGCGAGAGGTGCAGGTGAACGCAGCGTGTAGAGCTTGCTACTGTTGAGTGTGAAGCGTGCTAGGAGCTTGTTGGACTTAGGGTCGAAGAGGTCACAGTGATCCGAGTGTGCTGGGAAGATCGTGGTGACGCCTGCCCGTTGGAGCTCGTGTTGGGCCACGAGATTGTGGCATAGTGTGGGAACACACATGCCAGTCACACTGCCCGAAGGAAAAGCTGGGCACGGAACTATGGAGGAGCCCTTGGCGTGTGTTGTGAAACTGGAGTCTGCTCCAAGTAGACGGATTGGTGTCTCGTATGGCTTGAAGGAGTGTTCTTCCTTGAGAACCGAGTGAGTGGCCCCACTGTCGAGGGTGAACTCTATTGTGGCTGAGGTGCTTTGTGAGCCAGGATACTGCGAAATCGTCTCATTAATCATGGCAGTGCCAGGGAACAACACGTTGAGGCGCACATCAGCAGATGCAGCCACAGCAGCCTGCACGGATTCCTGCGCTTCGACTTGATTGACTTGTCGAGGAGCACGATTGACCATCCAGCTTGGCGGCTTGGAGGCGGTCCCATTGACGGCATACCACTTATCATCCTTCTTCTTAAAGCAGGAGGCAAGGCCGTGGTTGGTGCCGCCACACACCTGGCCAGCACGAGGGCCACGCTTGATGACGTAGGGACACGGGGGGAAGCGGTTGCGCTGGAATGGCACCGAAGCGGCATAGGCTTGAGGCACGGGAGCGCGGATTGCATTGGCCTTGGCTTGAGCGCTGTTGTCCTTTTCGGCAGAAAGGAGCGCGGATGAGACCTTGGCAAATGTGAGGTCTGCAGGAGCAAGGCCCAAGAGCATCTTGCGTGTGACTTCGTATGCCGGAGTGAGGCCGACTAGGAGAGCGGCTGCAGGGGCTTGCTCGGGGAAGACTATCCCCAACTGTTTGAGTTCACCATGAATGGACTGCATCTTGGTGACATAGTCCGCCATGCCTGGCGAGTCCTCGAGCCGCACTTGGAACATGCTGGGGATGAGTATAGCAACTCCCACTGCAGTCTTGTTCAGGAAGCGATCTTCGAGGTGGAGCCAAATGGCGTTGGCAGACGGGTAGTTGTGGTAGGTTTCGATGAGTTCGGGAGGAGTGGTGCCCATGAAGACACTAATGACCGCACCATCGGCCTTCTCCCAATTCTTGTACTTGAGCAGTGCAGCAGCATAAACTGCTTCGGCGGCGGCATTAGCTGGATCGGGGGACCTCTCGGGTTTAGGAGGCTCTTTGCCGTCACCGATGTTGAGAAGGACGTCGGTGAGCTCGAGCCCCTTCACCTCGCGACTGAGGAGGTGCTTGTCGACACCATAGCGCCAAGCCTTGTAGTTGGAGCATGTACCGTCCGGCTCGAGACGAAGGAGCGGGATCGGGTTGGCGAGTGAAGTGGTTGAGTAAGCCATTGTCGGTGTGCAGCGCGGCACTTCTGGAAATTGGTCGACGAGAATTGCTGAAAATCACTCTGACGGCTGTATCAAAATGCCGCTAAGTAGGAAATGGCGTCGGGGAAAATTCGTTAAAACGCCGACTTGAAACTGAATCTGAGCCTATGTCTAACCCCGGACCCACACACCCCTAGGCCCTGTCCCGCAGCTACACAGCTCCGCAACCAGCTCCGCAACCAGCTCCGCAACCAGCTCCGCTCCGCTTCAACCTGTGTACCTGCTCTTGATTTGACGCGAGACGTTCGTGGAGGCAATTTCGCGAGGGGAGTTCGCCTATTCTGGCGGGGTCTGAGGGGAAACTCGAGAACGAGTTTTAAGAGATGGTCGAAATTGAGATTCGACCAAGGAGAACCGAGGAGGAAATCGACGACGAGAACCGTGAACGCTTCAGAGATGAGAAATTCAACGAGGTCGAGCGCAAAGGCGGTCGACGATGAGAGGCGCGACTGCAGAGTGGAGCACGTCGAAATTCCGACGACTCGAAACGAATGTCGCGACGATGAAGTGCGCGTAGCGCGGGCACGTTCAGATTAGGACCTTGATCCGCGTGTGCGGATAGGTCGCTCTGATACCATATAAGAAATAGAGTTGAAATGATTGATTAGGTAAGGAGCCCAAGGCTCTATAAGTACATGGCAAGGTGAGAGAGAATGGATGAAGGGGGAATTGGAGGGAATCCCCATTGGGATCTCCGGAATCTCCAATTGGGTAATTGGAGATTGTGGGGATCACAATTGGGTGAGGTTGGGATTTGTGAGTACACCCCAACCCACTAGAACATTCACAACCTAAACTAGGATATAAAAGTACAAATACAAAAGTGGTATTTGCAGTCTATTTTGTAACACCACTTCCATGTATCCCTCTGTTTTTAATGCCAGTGATTTCCAGTACCCCATGTCTTCAGCTCCCTCCTCGCTCATGATAGACATTGTTCTCGATAGTGGTGCCACTGAAACTGCCCTCAAAGACGCTGGCAGCCTCACCTCCCTCCCTTTCCCCACCAACGTTCATGGCGCTGATTCCAGCTTCTCCATCCCTTGCACTCATCTCTCCACCCTCCCCTGCACCCCCTTCCCCTTCGGAGTGGTCTCTGGTCTCCACATTCCCTCCCTTCGTCATAACCTGCTCTCCATCCGTGAACTCCAAGAGGCTGGCATCACTACCCTGTTCCCCGCCTCTGCCACCTACCGTGACCTCCTCCACGGCCCCACTCGTCGCCTCCTTCATCGCCTCCCACTTTGCCCTCGCTCTCGTCAGTACATCCTCAGCACACCACGCCCCTCCTTATGCCACGTGACCACTCATGCAGGCACCTCCACTCTCCCCCCTCCCCTCCCTCTAGAGCCACCTTCCTCCAACTCCACCTCCCCCCCATGCTCTTGTCGCGCACTGTCCCACCCCGCTGTTCTCATCCACCATCGCCTTGGTCATATGAACTTTTCCACACTTCGTAAAGCCGTCTCCTCCCGCTTGCTTTACGGTCTTCCCCCCACTCTTCCTCCCCTCCCGTCCTCTTCCGCTCCCCCATGCGCCACATGCATTCATGGAAAGCTCAAACAACAACCTCACCTCAGTCATCCTTCCTTTGCTGCTGCCCCCCTTGACCTCGTCCACATGGACCTCTGGGGCCCTAACCCTTCCCCTTCCCGCCAAGGGCACCGGTACATGCTTGCCCTAGTCGATGACCACAGCAGGTACTCCTCGGTGTTCCTTCTCCACACAAAGGCCAGAGGCCCCTGCTGTCATCGTTACCTGGGCCGAGCAGTGCCGTGTCCACTTTGGTCGCCCCATCCGCCGCCTCCATTCCGACGGTGGTGGTGAGTTTCTCAACCGCACCCTCTCCTCCTACTGTTCAACCCATGGTATCCAGCAGACTCATACCCTTCCCCACTCCCCTCAGCAGAACGGTGTTGCTGAGAGTTGCATTCGTGAGATCACCAAGACGACCCGCTGCCTCCTCACTCATGCCTCAACGCCCCCTTCTCTTTGGGGCTATGCCCTTGTCCATGCTGCTCTCCTCACTAATCTTTACCCACATCCTCAACGCCAGTCCGTAACTCCCACAGAGCTTTGGGCTAGCACTAAGCCAGATGCTGCCATTCTCCATATCTGGGGTTGCAAGGCATATGTCCTCATCCCCCCACCTGACCGCTCTAGGCAGGCAGGAAAGCTCGCCTCCAAGGCCATTGAGTGTGTCTACCTTGGCCATGCTCGCTCTGCCCCTGGTTACCTCTTCCTTCACCCGTCCTCAGGCCTCCTCCTACAGAGCCGTGACGTGGTGTTCGATGAGAGCATCCCGTTCTATCATTCTGTTCCGCCTTCTGACCCACTTCCTCCTCTCTCCCGCCCCCTCACCTGGGCTGATGCTGTCATTCCCCCACTCCTTCCCCAGGCTCCCCTCCTTCCTCCAAATCCTGCTTCTCCCCCTCCTCCTTCCTCAGGTGACATTTACGACCCAGCTGTCCCTGACTCCCCTGCTCACTCTGCCTCATCGCACCAGCACCAGCAGCAGCAGCAGCAGCAGCAGCAGGTGCAGCAGCAGCAGCGGCAGCAGCAGCAGCAGCAGCAGGAGGAGATGCAGCAGCAGCAGCGGATGGAGCAGCAGCAGCAGCAGCAACCGTAGGCAGTGCAGCAATAGCAGCCACAGCAGGAGGTGCAGCAGCAGCAGCAGCAGCAGCCACAGCAGCAGCAACCACAGCAGCAACCTCATCGGCATCGCTGCACCACCTCTCCATTCATCCTCCCACGCATCCACACTCGCTCTCATGGCCCACTCATAGGACATCCATGGGGTTGGCCAACGCCACCCCCACCCTCCCTTCCCTTCATTGAGGACTCCCATGAGGAGCTCATTGGCATTCAGCAACAAACACCTTCCCTCACGCCTCTCTACCCGGGCTTCCTTGGCCTCCTCATCCTTGGCATCGCTAACGCTCCCACCATATTCACCCCGTCCAACTTCCTTGAGGCCATCACCTGCCCCGATGCTGCCAAGTGGATCCAGGCTATCTTTGCTGAATGCTTCATCCGCAATGCCTCATTCGTTGGCATTGTCCCCTCTCCTGACGACGTCATTGCTGAAGGCCTGTAGGTGTTCCGAGTGAAGCAGCTGCCGGGTGAAGAGCCGGTCTACAAGGCCCGGTATTGTGCCAAGGGCTTCACCCAGACCCATGGCATCGACTACTGGGAGACATTCTCTCCCACTGCCAAGCTCCCAACTCTCCGTGCCATCCTCGACTATGCTGTTCGCATTGGCATGGAGATTGCCTCCATGGATGTCTCCAACGCCTTCCTGCAAGGCGAGCTCCAGGAGCGGGTCCTCTTGCGGCGGCCTCCAGGCTTTCATGCAGCCTTCCCTCCCAACACAGTCTGGGAGCTGCGCCGCCTGGTTTATGGCCTCAAGCAGGCTCCTCGCGAGTGGCAAAACAAGCTGGCCGCCACTCTGCAGTCCTTGGGGTTCCATGCCTCTCAGTCTGATGCCAGCCTTTTCCTTCGCTCCTCTCCCACCCGCTTCTTCATCCTGGTGTATGTCGACGACATGATCCTGTTCGCTGACGATCCTGCCGCCATGCGGCAAGTGAAGGACGCCCTGCATGCTCGCCTCAAGTGCAAGGACCTGGGTGAGCTCAAGCACTATCTGGGCATGACCATCACCCAGGACCGCGCATCGCGCACCATTACCCTCTCTCAGTCCTTCTACATCGACCAAGTCTTGCAGCGGTTTGACATGGCGTAGGCCAAGCCAGTTACCACTCCCCTGCAGACCGACCACCAGCTTGCCCCTCCTCCTGCTCCCTCCTCCTTTGACCATCCTTACGCTGAGCTCGTCGGTTCGCTGATATACGTTATGATGTGCACCCGCCCCGACCTTGGTCCAGCAAGGTCACTTGGTGGTCCGCAAGATCGCTGCAGAGGCCAACTTGGCCAACATCTTCACCAAGGCCCTCCCAAAGACCGCGCACTTTGCCCTCCTCCACCTTCTCGGCCTTGGGCCCCGCCCACCTTCCTGATTCTGGGGTTGTACCCTATATATACACTAGCTTTGCATGCTATGGGGCTGTATTAGAATATACCATGCTATGCTAGTTGTGTATATTGTGTTTACATCCCTAGTTGGGTGTACACCTGTGTTGGGGTGTCAATCCAACCCAATTCTGGTTGGAGCCCCAAAACACAAAGACCACAATTGTGTCAGAAATAGACTGCAAATACCACTTTTGTATTTGTACGTTTATATCCTAGTTTAGGTTGTGAATGTTCTAGAGGGTTGGGGTGTACTCACAAATCCCAACCTCACCCAATTGTGATCCCCACAATCTCCAATTACCCAATTGGAGATTCCGGAGATCCCAATGGGGATTCCCTCCAATTCCCCCTTCATCCATTCTCTCTCACCTTGCCATGTACTTATAGAGCCTTGGGCTCCTTACCTAATCAATCATTTCAACTCTATTTCTTACATGGTATCAGAGCGACCTATCCGCACACGCGGATCAAGGTCCTAATCTCAACGTGCCCCGCGCTACGCGCACTTCATCGTCGCGACATTCGTTTTCGAGTCGTCGGAATTTCGACGTGCTCCACTCTGCAGTCGCGCCTCTCATCGTCGACCACCTTCGCACTCGACCTCGTTGAATCTTTCATCTCTGAAGCGTTCACGCTTCTCGTCGTCGGTTTCCTCCTCGGTTCTCCTTGGTCGAATCTCAATTTCGACCATCTCTTAAAACTCGTTCTCGAGTTTCCCCTCAGACCCCGCCAGAATAGGCGAACTCCCTTCTCGAAATCGCCTCCACGAACGTCTCGCGTCAAGCAAGAGCAGGTACACAGGTTGAAGTGGAGCGGAGCTGGTTGCGGAGCTGGTTGCGGAGCTGGTTGCAGAGCTGGTTGCGGAGCTGTGTAGCTGCGGGACAGGGCCTGGGGGTGTGTGGGGGGGTGTGTGGGTCCGGGGTTAGACATAGGCTCAGATTCAGTTTCAAGTCGGCGTTTTAACGAATTTTCCCCGACGCCATTTCCTACTTAGCGGCATTTTGATAAAGCCGTCAGAGTGATTTTCAGCAATTCTCATCGACCAATTTCCAGAAGTGCCGCGCTGCACACCGACAATGGCTTACTCAACCACTTCACTCGCCAACCCGATCCCGCTCCTTCGTCTCGAGCCGGACGGCACATGCTCCAACTATAAGGCTTGGCGCCATGGTGTCGACAAGCACCTCCTCAGTCGCGAGGTGAAGGGGCTCGAGCTCACCGACGTCCTTCTCAACATCGGTGACGGCAAAGAGCCTCCTCAACCCGAGAGGTCCGCCGATCCAGCTAATGCCGCCGCCGAAGCAGTTTATGCTGCTGCACTGCTCAAGTACAAGAATTGGGAGAAGGCCGATGGTGCGGTCATTAGTGTCTTCATGGGCACCACTCCTCCCGAACTCGTCGAAACCTACCATAACAACCCGTCTGCCAACGCCATTTGGCTCTACCTCGAAGATCGCTTCCTGAACAAGACTGTAGTGGGAGTTGCTATACTCATCCCAGCATGTTCCAAGTGCGGCTCGAGGACTCGCCAGGCATGGCGACTATGTCACCAAGGTGCAGTCCATTCATGGTGAACTCAAACAGTTGGGGATAGTCTTCCCCGAGCAAGCCCCTGCAGCCGCTCTCCTAGTCGCCTCACTCCGGCATACGAAGTCCACGCAAGATGCTCTTGGGCCTTGCTCCTGCAGACCTCACATTTTCCAAGGTCTCATCCGCGCTCCTTTCTGCCGAAAAGGACAACAGCGCTCAAGCCAAGGCCAATGCAATCCGCGCTCCCGTGCCTCAAGCCTATGCCGCTTCGGCGCCATTCCAGCGCAACCGCTTCCCCCCATGTCCTATGTCATCAAGCGCGGCCCTCGTGCCGGCCAGGTGTGTGGCGGCACAACCACGCCCTTGCCTCCTGCTTCAAGAAAAAGGACGACGATTGGTAT